CCAGCACATGCTAAGTTTATAATAAGACGTGACGAGATTCAATGTAATGGTAGTATATACTTTCGTACTTGTGTCGTATCGACTAATTGAAATTTCTCGAAACATGTACTTAAACCTGTGTCTTTTTTGTGTGTCTTTTTTTTTTCCAAGTACACTCTTGTTCATATACTTGCCGATTAAAGTTTAACGGTGCCAGAGCCGGGCGGACGCTGTCAAAATGGAATACCTCACTTGCGGTCTATAATGGCGCAAGGACTTCGAGGTGACGCTTTATTCACCTGCGTTTTGTCCTCACGTTTCTGATGACTTACGAATCGTCCTCGCGAGAAAAGAACAGCTTTGTTTTCTAGAAAGGCAGTTTATTAATATACATTAAAAAAACAATGTTTCCGATTGAACCACTCAATTTACAAGGCCACGGCGTAAACATATATCTGAATCATGCTTGGTTCCTATAGTCGGTAAATCTTACTACGTAACACGCAACGGCGACAGCACGTCCTCACGCGCTTTCTCGGCAGGCTGATTCACCGACGACAAACAACGCTTGTTGAACGTGCGACTCGAAACACTTCGCTTTTCGACCACACCCGCTTCCAGTCATCTTTTAACACTTCGCAGACACATGTATACTCCGCGCGAGAAATGCGCTCTCGAAGCAGAATGCCCACCCTGCAGGGACCTGCTCTGCTGCCAAACTGCGTTTGTCTGAAGTGTCCGGGCAATTAAGGGCAGCCACGTTACACGCCCACTGCAGCTCGACGCCGGTATAGCAGAGAACGGAGAAGCACTTTCGCAACATGAGCGCTGCAGCAGAAGCACAAGTCGTGACCAAACGTCCCCCCGATTCGCTTCCGTGCGGCAGCGCGAGATTCAGCCACGCCCACCGCCGCGCGCTATCGAGGACACGTCAGTATACACGCGCCACAAGAAGGCTCCGTTGCTCGCGCTCTAATCGCTCAGCCGAAAGCAAATGGCCTGCCTGTCCAGAACTGTCATCATCGAGCCGAACGAGCGTTGCGTCGGCAACCCAGGCTTTGGTTACGACATCTACGTAATTCACGCAACGGCCAGCCTGTGTTACAGATGCAAAATAAGTAACCACGATATGCAGCCCCCCCCCCCCCCCCAATTGAGTAAGGGAGGTTCTGATGCGACATATTAACCTAATCGGGTACAACTTACGAGTGACACAGCAGCCAGACACTCAAACATCAACGCAATGTGAAGAAGTCGGCGAGTCTATTAAACCCCTAGATAGCACAAGGCGAGTTGCTGAACTACATAAGGCGAATGATGAGCTAGCTAGAGGCTGCAGCCGCATTCAGCGTACAGCCGCGGCCACTGCTGTATCAGAAGCATGTGCGGCGTATAGCTGTCAGGCTGACCGCATCAGAACCCGAAACTGCCTCGAGGTTTCGCCCCGCAGAGTGAAAGCCGGCTCCTCGCGCGCTCTACACAGACGTGGCCGCGGCTGCACATAAATAAGCAGCAAAGACGCAACTGGAACCTTGAGAAGGCGGACAGGACTTGAGTTGGATTCGCATATACTGCACGCTTTGCAGTCCTGCGCAGCCGTACGGATGCGAGACAAGAGACACGGCGTCGCTAAATGCACCGTCCACCTGCAGGTGCAACGAGCGTGAAAGAAAATTATTCGCCGTCGTCGCACGGACGTGACGAGGACGAATAATAAGGTCGTGCAAAAGCAGAAGAGAGACGGGAACGACAGATGCACACAGTCGCCAAGGTTAGAGACTCATTCGCCGTGCCGTGTATCCAAAATGAGTGCGTGCATTCACGACGTGACCTTCACATGGACGCCATTTCAGACGTTTATGTGAAGTGTACGAGTCCTTTCAAGCTCCGCATTACCCGATAAAATGAGGTAGGTTCCATCGCCCAATAAAGACGCGATGGACGCTTCCACAAAGTGGCCCTGGTGCCCGATGACTGACTGTAATGAACTGTTCACCACCTACTCTAAATACGTACATTCACCGCCTAAACTCGAAGAAAAATACTTTGCGTGGCTTTTTTTCCGCGGGTCCCGAATTGCCAAGTAAAGTGATTTCCAAAGAGTGTTCACGTGTCTTTTTAAGGAGTTATATACGCGGCTATAGTCAGGACTCGCACACACACACGCAAAAATCGAACCCCCCCGACCCCGTCCTAACTGTGTGTACCGTGAATCTCACAGAAACGAGGGCTATACCCGAGAAACGATGCTATAAGGCTGCAATAACGGATCGCAAGGACAGCTTACACAGTCATGGTCAACAAGGCGACGATTACTGCACAGGGTATCCAAGCGAAGTTTTACATCGAGACCGTTGCCGCCGAGCAAATGGTAAAGTGACTGAGTGAAACAGAAGTTCTTGCGTGTGACCGAAGAAAAACTACACAGGCACGCCTCAAAAAAGGGGGAAAAAAGGGAAGAAAAAGAAGCAAACTATACACCATATAAGGCTTGCATGGCAATACAGAACTGAGCCGCAGGGCGCAGCCAAGCAGAAAAGCACAACGGGCGAGAAGCCGCCCAACTTCGTACTCAGTGCACCGCCGGCTTCCACTTAATGTTCACAGGTTCTTCGAGCTGTTAATTTCGGGACGTCATCATAATACGTTCCCGAACAACGGCCCAAAACTCGCTCGCAGCCTGGAATTTACGCGCGATACCTTGCAATCTTCTTAACGCTTCGTCTTTAGTCGTTCTTTTTTGTGTATGCTTCGGTGAGAGTCCAGTCGAACACACCTTTGCGAGGCGCGCTCGAGGCACCCGACAAGGGGTGCAGCGTACGTCGACCAAGAGCGCAGACCCTTCCACGCTTCTCCGGATGCAGGAAGTCGCCTCGAGAGGTTTGATTAATTAGCGCCACTCTCGTATTCATTACGCTACAGATGGCGCGACGTGTCCATTAGTCGCCCTTCAGCCTCCTCCACTAAGGGAAAAAAAATTGAAAGCCACGTCCCAACGTGCACGTCCAAGTCAGGCCAATGTAAAGAGTTTAGACCGTCTCCTCGCAAGACTCGCATGACAAGCAACGGCTGTTTTAATTGCGCTGCCTCATTTGCTTGTAGAGGAACAGCGCCGTAGTAGCCACAGTCCACTCGCCGCATACTTGGTAACACAGAAATGCACTGCTTCCATCCACAGCTATACATCAGAGTACAAAACACTCGGAAGTGCAGGCGGGAAGTGCCGTGTGGGTCGGCTAGAAATCTAGTGGTATATACACGGAGCTCGCTGGAAGGACTCCAAGAAAGAGCATAGAGGCTTAAAAGCGAATTTAAATCAATTAATAATTAATTTCGCTTACAAATGAATTATAATGACAATACATATAATAGAAATCGTCTTAAAACTTGAGGTCAATCTCTATATATACGTTTTTTTTTAATCGTCGTGATTCTCTGCCGTGTGGTATATATGACGATGTCCACGGTAATTCCTCACCTAGTCAGCATGACTTTGCTAGGGGACTTCCTAGGCTGTCTATCGTATACTTATTCATATACCACCAGCAATGTCGGCTGCTTTAACGATAGCGTCATTCCATCGCATGCAATGCAGTTGCTTACAAAGCTTTTGCGCACTTCACACTTATAGTGACGGCATACGTGAGCCGTCACCGCATGCCCAGGATACGCCCCCCGTGTTTGACAGGCCGAACAGCTTGCCGTCGCACAACGAATCCACGTTATTTTAAGAAGCAATGTAAAAGAACTTTTGCCCGTCGAGCCACGCGCCTATACTGTGACTACGAGTAGGGACTGCGGTACGCAGAATAATAAAGCATTTTTCCACTGACCCCACGGAGGAGGTTTCAAGTAGCCAGCACAAAGAAGCGATGTACCGCGGCTCCTTTCGCCAAATTCGGAGAAGAAACAGCGCCGGCTGTCCTCGAAATACTACCAACGACGCGCTTGAAAAGCTCCGCGACGTGCAGCTATGCAGCTAGCGCACCGACTGTACAGAGCCGAATTAAGGGCGACGCGACAGCGGCTACTCTGACACTTTGTAGTACGTACGCCCCCCCCCCCCCCCTTGGTTGTGTTACTCCCCCCCCCCCCCTCTTTTCTTTAAAGCGTTAAGGAAGGGCAGTTTGGGGAGGGGGGGGGGGGGGGTAATGACTTATGCGAAAGGCTCAGCGTGAAGCCGACCAAAACCTTGTGGCCAGCCGCCATGGAGCCGTCAATTGAATACGATTAAGTGCGATATACACAACAAATTCATCAAATGCGATTAAACACGGCTTACCACCTTTAACCGCATAAGGTCAGCACTGTTTACAAATAACGAGGAACGCTGGCTAGTAGCGGTTCATGCATGCTGTCGAAGTAAGAATAAATATTTAGTTAAAGGCCACTATAAAACGTGTTTCTGGCGTTATAGCCGCTTAATCGACGCTCATTTTCTTTCCCCTCGACTCTTTGTAATTTTTCATAGTCACTTCTTCACATTCGACAACTTTGCGCTTCTTCAATGGGTTGCACTAGTTTAGCGTCTGTTCCCAACGTCAGATCTCTATACCTCACTTCAAAAGAGGGACACAAGCCCCCCTCTCTCACGGTTTCAAACGTCATGCACCTTACGAAGCGTGTCCCTTTCAGAGCAACAGCGCTAATAATACAGTCCAGGGAGGCAGGCGGCCAGTTTTCGACGCAACAATCGTCGGCAGCTGCCACAGCTGGAGAAACGACTTCGCTGGTTTGGGCAATCGCTTCCGTTCCCCGTGTACGCAGTTGTATTTTTTTCTTTCTTTTTAACACGTTATCATTGTTTTCTTTTTTGACACCGCATAATCGCTCCCTTTGTCACCGGTGCCGGCGAGGTTAAGCGATATGTTCGCACCGTTTCTCCGAACTGCAACAATCATCGTTGCACCTCCAGCTCAAACTTATTCGTTTCAAGCAGGTATGAAAATGGCCAAGGAAAAAAAAAACGGAAAAAGTAGACGAAGCAACGTAGGAAACGGGCCAAATCACACGCAACACACCTTTGACGATGGCCTTGGCTGCCTCGTTGTAGACCTTCTCTTGCGTGGCGTTCGGCTTGAACACCTTGTCATACACGTACACCTTGCCCTGCATAAGAACGATGTGATCAAAAAAAAAAAAAAGAGAGACAAAGTTCAGTTCCGGTCCTGTAGACATATATGTATAGGCACACTTTACGCAACACCAGATACTTGTTTATAACGAACGTCGCGTACGTCAAGCGTGCCCACTATTGTAGGCCGATCGCACCACCCATTTGCCGAGCACACACATACACACACAAACACACGCTATAAACATAAGAAAATCACCGACCGTTTACATTAATTATTGCGCTAATGAAAACTTCGACAGGCGAGGCGTGACGATAGCGCTCGACATCAAGCGCCAAAGTGATGTCGGACATCTGACGCAGTAACATCAAATATCTGTTGACCTAGCATTCGATGGCTTGTTGAGGCGTGCTGCTGTACTCAGCAACAGGTGAGTCTTCAACGTCTCACTGCGGCAAACGACGTAGCGACCAGAAAGTGAAACATTCCGAACGGTTATAATGACGCGAAAAAAAGAAAAGAAAATCGCCGGGGAATGGAGGAAGCGAGAAACGGACGCAGCGAGCGGAGCCGGAAGTTCCGCACAGACTTCCGGTACAGACAATTTTACGGCCAAACAATAGCCCATGGGAAACATCGAACGTCGCCCCTCCTTCCCCGCTTTCCTGCGCGCATATAAATGACTCCCCCGAAAAGACACGGGCAGCAGGCAGCTCGTGGCACCGCAAGAGCGGCGGTTGCGTGCCCCAAGTGATGATAGAATTTGCCGAAAAAAAAAAAAAAAGACAGAAAGCAATATAACGTTTTCCCCGGGACCGTACACTTTATGAATCGGTTTCTCGGGGACACCGCTTTGCATGCATGGTTTGGCAAAGCCACCGAGCGGGAATACACATACCACGCGCGCTGCTCCAGTGAGGCGTTGTGCGGGTCGTTACACGTCACGTGCTTCTAGAAGCAAAAACATTCCCGATAGCGATCGACCGAGAAAAGCAAGCCCCGTACTCTATTTAAGAAGACACCGAGTTTTAAGGATATGCTCCAATTCAAAAGAGGCGCCTTGTCGACTGACCTCATGCGTATACCACTCGCATTTTGGAGAATGTATACACTTTCCTTTCTTCCCTTGCACATAGCACTAATGGACAGCCTGTTTGACTCTAAATGAAAAGCAAGATTCCTCCATCACCTATGCAGATATAGATTTTCTTTTAATCCGGCGCTGCAGTCTTCAGGGAAAATTTAGGACGTGGAGGAAGGGAGAGAGAAGATCAGTGTAAATTTCTGTATTCTGTGTATCACGTGTACTTTCTATAGAAATACCTTATTTTTTTGTTTTGTTGTAAGTTCTGAGTGATCCCATATATGACTCCCTTTACCCCATAAATGACTGCCCGCAAAGAGAAATGTGAACCGTCTTTGCAGATGACATTTTCATAGGGGAGTAGTGGAACCCCAAAGAGAGTTTATGTATGTAAACTATCATAGACAGTCGCATATAGGTGGCCACTCTGAATTTGCCGAAAAGAGTGACGTACTCTTTTTCTTTGTTCTTTTGTTTTGTTTCCTAAGTGCATGTGTCTACATATACACCAGCAGAATTACCTGTATTTCAATAGATTCCCTCTCTCTCTCTGCTAATTTGTCAGTCTATCAACTTCTTTTTCTACATATAAACAACGGGAACACCACAAACAAGACTTCCAAGCGTATGCGCTCCAGGCACAACTTAAATGCAGTCATCTCTGGCTGAGAATTCATGGGAGGGAAGGCATGCTGGTAAGCTCGCGCGTTTCAGTGATATACTGTGTGGCGTCAACCTCTTATCTAAAAAGAAAGGTCTTTAAACCGACAGCGTCGGCCTTGCGTCTGCGATAGAGTCGTCACGAAGAGAGCGCGTAGATAAGACGCCGGCTATTATCTCGACACAAGCAGGATGTTCCGGGCTAAAACTGCCACCTTTATCGCCCCAGCCTCGGAGAGCTGGCGGGTCTGAGCTGATTCATGTGTGTGTGCAAAAGTGCAATGCCGATTCAGGCGCACCCATAGAGGCTTTATATGACACCCAGGCCAATAGTCGCCGAAGCTCAAAGCGGTGTCTCGCTCCACTTATTGGCGGATAACGTACGTCGAATTTCTGCACGGCGAGACTGTTTATGGCTAGTCGAAACCAAAAATTCGCCTGTCCTGTGTGCGAAAAAAAAAAAAAAAACCTGCTATACATATATATGGTCCACAGAAATCGGTCGACCCCACTATACTCATCACTGATCCACTAATATCAGGAGGGATAAGCACGAGCGGCGGACACCAATAAAGATTTCTGGATACCGTAACCAATAATAATTAAGACTGCATGCACTGAACTGTCCGATAACCAACGATAAACAGCGAGGCCTCACGTTTCGGCTCTGCTGGTTAACCGTCTGTATGGAGCGCTCGGGCGGTAATATCAATACAAGAACGCGTGCAAAGCCTCGCAATTTTCTAACCAGCGCGCCACACGTTGTTTGCGCACGCACTGCCAGATTGAAAGAGAGATATAAGAAAAGGAAAATAAAAACTGCGCAGCATATCTACTTACACTGCGTAGTATACCTTTCTGATGCACGACGATCTTACTTTTTTGCACCTTCCCTTTTTCTCAGCTCCGATTACTGAACCTAATTTCACGTAAGTGGGACGAATACATTATAGAAACACTTGAACACGAGCCCTCATTTAACGCGTCCCATTTACCGTAGCACACGCACGCAATACAAATAACCCAATTAATTAAACGAGCGTTGCAACTGCTAGCTCCGACTGCGTATGCAAGTGTCACGCATCCCCGTCTTTTTTTTTTCTTTTGCTACAACTATAAGCGAAATATGTGAAAATTGAGGATTGCGTATAAGTAATGAACAAACCAGCTGTAAATTCTTGCGTCGACACGCTGCTCTTTATACACTGAAACAAAACTTTTTGAACTTCTAGTGGGTTCCTTTGAGTATTCGGAACTAACCGACAACAAACTTAAAATCGTCGTCACAAGATGTTACCACTGGACGTCTAACGTATTGCCTTCCGATAACAGTGTGTCAGCCTCAACAGTGTAATGATGCATACGTTACACTTTCATAACAACTGTCGAGTTTTAACGTCCCGGAAACCACGATATGACAATGAGAGACGCCTTATGTAGTGGAGGGCTCCAGGTATCTCAGCCGCATGGGATTCTTTAGCCCCTACATCTAAGTAGAAGGGTCTCGAGAATTTTCGCCACCATTGGAAGTGCAGCCGCCGCAGCGGCCAGGGGTTCAAACCGGTGACCCGGGTCTGCAGTCGATCAGCGCAAGCACTACACCACCGCGGTGGGTCGTATACATCTCACTTATACCAATGGGGGGCGCAAGAGTGTTATGCGATGTGAGTAGAGTTTCCATTTCATTCGATTCTTTTTTCCTCTAAAAAAAGGGGCGTTGCATGTGAGCGTCTCTGTAGTATGTATACATGTATGTGTCCCATGGTAATAAAGAAGAAGTTAGAGTCCACGCTTCAAACGGTCCACGGCTTGTGATATCACGGCACGTTTGTGACGGTACACAACAAAGATGGTCATATAGAAGGAAACAGCAGCAACGATCTCGAGTCATCGGCCGCCTCTTTTTCCCGCTCCTATTCCGGCATGGTGTTCAATTGCGCAAGGCGCTAACGCAAGGCAAGGACAACGTCACAGCCGTTATTACTTCGTGTTAGCAAAGAAAATTAGGAAATAGAATGGCACAAGACAAAGAACCGTAGAACTGTGTCAGCTGGCACGCACGCTCGCATCCCCGAGTACAAAAGCCATTTCAACCAGATTACAACGATAAACCGTTTATGTCGATCTATAGTTTCATGAACGCCGAGTTTGCAGGTGGTTTTCAAGAAATACAGCGAGCGAAATCAGACCTTTTTTTTTTTAATTCCGCCCCAATATACCACTGTCCATGCGATAGTGTGACGCGACGGGGATCAATTGATGCTACGCAATATTATTATTATTATTATTATTATTATTATTATTATTATTATTATTATTATTATTATTATTATTATTATTATTATTACCGCTAGACCATACGGGTATAGCGGTTGTGGTGGTCGAATGCAGACTAGAGAAGCACCGCAGAAGTCTATATGACGTCAGAATGCGAGCCAACGCATGAACTAACAGCTTCAGCGGTGGCGTCACCAATCGTCGTTTGTTCTTACCCCTCCCCCCGTGTTCTTATTGTTCTTTTCTCGCATCGAGTGCCCGTTCAGTATCAAAGAAGGCTGATGATGTTACTCAACGGTAAAAGTGATTCCTCTCCGGAGCATTCGTTATATCTTCGTTCTTTTAAAACTTAATCAGCAAGACGAGACAAGGAACGGCGAATACGCGACCGTTCCTGGAACAAAAAAAAAAAAAAAACGGATGGGGGAGCACGCGCGAGAACCGTTCGCGGAACGGGTTTGTATACGCGCGTTCGGCATACGCAATCAAGCACCACTCGGTGCCAATCGCTCGTCTGCAAGGGCGATCGACGTCGCGGGGTTCGAGGTTATGCGAACAGGAAGCGCCGTATACGCCGCCATTCTAATCCCCGTATTCACAAACGCCCCTCGACTCGACTTCCAGCCTTCACTTGACAGAGTTGAGAACTGCGCCACCGCTCGGCTGAAAATGACGCTGCGCTACTCAAGAATCGCAGCAGATCATCGCTGATACGCAGTGACTTGCCATGCCTACAGGCGGCGCTCCCTCCCATCGGCTTTCTCAAGTGAAGGTGAAGCGATGAGTGAAGAAGGAACGTTCTAGAATACGGGGGTAAGTTCACGATGGTCGCCGTGAACGCCGGGGCGACATTTTATTCGATTGTCGTGCACCGCGGAACAGACGGCGAAGAAGCGCACGAAGCTATACAACACGAACGGCCTCGGGCTGTATATAGGCTATTCCACCCGCTAACAGCATTACCACGGTATACGGCGTATTAGCCACAGTATGCCTGTGTATGCCTGCGCGAA